ATCAAAAGGAGGGACTTGCTACTAGATTCACAGAAGATTATCAGCGTTGTAACATCAATTATGGTATTAGAAATTTTGTTGTAATTCTTGGCCGCATCTCATACATTTTGACAGCATCTGATGAGTTTTTTCAGAATAAATACAGTGATAATTCGTACACTGGCAACAAAGGGCTGTATTACTCAGGTCTGTATTGCAGGAAGTGGTGGTGCAGTATTCAGGAGAGTCAAATATTTCTTATGTCAGGTCAGAGTTTGCTGAATCCCCAGCACCTAGCTTGAGCATGGAAAGGCTGTTCTGTACATTGGTATAAAACCATACGTTCAATCTGGCTACAAAACAGCTACAGGCCTTCTTGCTCACGATTTGAGGAGTAAAGCAGTATGCCTGTACACATGATGTTAACTGTTCATGTTAATTTTTCAAGAGGGGAGAAACACATCATATCAGATCTGCGTTGTGCTGTTAGAAAGGAACATTTACTCAATCTGTCCACTCAGTGAGTTAAAGTTACTACAATATACAAGGCATCTTGTGATGTGTGAGAAGAGATTTGTGAGCGTTCTGCCAAAACAGTTCATACTTACAATTAACCACTCGGACAATTGTAAGGTGGGCTGCATGGAATATTACAGTTGATGAGAGAACTTTCAGAAAACTGCCACCACATAACAAAGTTGATCTCATGGAATCTTGCTCTTGATTTTGATATATAGGTTCAAGCACCACCTGTTTGACCTGACATTCATTGAGAAGCTGACCCGCTGGCTGACCAACACCCAGGTCAAGATCAAGGCGGAGGTAGCTGAGAGCAACGCCCAAGCCCAGGCCCTCATGCACCACCTTAACGTGCTGGAGAGACGGGTGGATGCCTGCGAGAAGCCCAACCTGGACAAAGAGGTGTGTCTCGGCTGTTTATCTTCATCTGGCATGTCATCTTGCTTTAGAGAAAACAGTGCTGTGTCGTTCAAGTTCCGTTACCCTTTTAGGAATTTGATAGGGGTGTTAAGTTAATTTGGCTTCTGAATTTGTTGTTTACTTTGGTGGGAAGTGATAGACACAGAAAGAAGATTAGGAACTAGAAGGGGATAAATATTACAAACATTCTTTAAAGACTTACATGTAACCAGATGATTTGGAGTGATCAAGATATACAAGAGGCATATTTGAATTGTAGATTGACTTTGATGTACTGTGATGAAGTATCTCTGAATTGTGATTCAAACTATTTTGTTACATAAATGGAAAATATTTTTGAAAGTAAGGGAGGTCATGCAAGTATGAAATAGTCTGGCACTTTCCCGTGTGAATGTGTACAACAAATAAAAGAGGTCTGGACTTTACACTCGGAAGGGTCACTGTAACTGTCTTTTTTGCCCTTTCAAAAGAGATTTCAGCTTGCGTTATAGAAGAGTCCACTTGAGTTGCACAAATCAAACTTGGCATGAAAGACTTTGACTCGCATAGCCTCTGATAGTTGACCACGGCACAGAACAAATCAGAAAAATAGCACTTTAATGACAAACCAGAGAAGAACTTTCAGGTTTTGTAGCACATACTTTTTATCTATTTAATGTTGCTGTGAAAGCTCATGCAAATTGTAGGTATCTTGTAGATATAGCTCTGTAATAGTCAAAACTCGGCTTCACAACTTTTTCGCTTGTGTTCACCTCTAAACTCAGCTGCCCACCCCTTTGCTTAGTATGTCGGGGTATTGAACGTCTTTATCTCCAATCTCCAACAGCAAATCACGCCCACTCAGCTACTGGACAGCCTCAAGGCCATCTTCCAGGCCTTTGATGACCGAAGCAGGTACATCAACTGTCTTCGGCACCTGTCCGTCACCCTGGACTCCCCCACCAAGAAAGCCGGCCTGCCTGCCCAGAGTGCCAAGGTGGCCTTCAGCGGAGACGATAAGCCCCCAGCACAGCAGCAGATAGGTCAAGGATCAGTGGTCCCGATGACCACCGTTACCCTGACAACGCTGAAGACTGCCAAACCCCAGGTTGAAGATTCAGCAGTGTCTCTCATTAAGAACATACTGACGTAAGTTGGTGCCAATAGTTTGAGTCACTTCCTTTATGCAGCCTCGTTTGACAGTAAGCAAAGACCCTGTTACTATAATGCAATCTCATGGCTGCCATTTTGTCAGTAAGTTTGCTTTTGATTTGGAGCTGGAAGTGTCTTGTTACCAAGGAAACTTAACATCAGATAAAAACTTGTTTCTCTTTCTACACAGTGACTGTGAATTGAATGAAAGAATTTGTGACAGTGCAGCATTTGTCTCAAAAAAGCTATTCTGAACAGCCTTTTGAGAGTTAAATTTGAATGAAATCTGGTACACTGAGTCCTTTCAGTGTCCTGTTCACATGAACATAGCAATTTGAATTCTCCGTACTAAAGACACTGTTGCTATGCCTTGTGATTCGGGGTAAGCTTTTGCTTAGTTACAAAAGAGATGCCTTACACCAATACACTGTTTTCAATGGATAAGAAGGGCACAAAGGAACCAGTCCATTCCAGAGATGGTGGTTGCTATGCAAAAGCTTGTCCCAAATCAGGAGGTATAGCAACTGTGTCTTCAGTCTGGGGAGTTCAAATTGTTATGTTTATGTGCAATCACATAACTCAGGGTACCAGATTTTATTCAAATTTAGCTTGCAAAGGCTTATTTCCCAGTCCTCGTAGCATATAGTGTCTCACAGTTAATGGATCATTCAGTAAATTTGAGGTCTTTTTGCCTTGTCCCTTATCACATTAAGTTCAGAACACATTCTTTAATTTCCAAAAGTCACGTAAATTACAATGCCCCAAACC